CAGCCTTATTCAGGAGAATTTCGAACATTAGCTTAAGATACCATCTAATTCTTTTTCGGAGTGGGGGACAAGTAGCTAGCCATTTGATCAGAAATATCTATACCATCTCCTCGCTCTTTCTGTTTTTCTTCCCAGTAGCCTTTATATCCAGCGTGTGCTTAGTACTCAGGAACGGAACATCCCTTTTGTCTTTCCATTTATCTATAACGAGTCCTGTAATGTTTTCCTTCCCCAAAATTTCCCCTCTTTTTAGCTGTGCACTCAATACCCATAAACCGCAAAATCTGTATAAGAACCAACCTGAATATAGTAAAAGTGCAGTCGTAAATTTACCCTACAAAGGTAGGCAACCAGGGATGTTATATATCTCAATGAGTTGTCTATATTATCAGTATGCCACAGTATAAGTAGCTAAACTTAATTCACAGGCCAAGCGGATATATCTCTAATTTAGAAATATACTGCATGTGAAACACATGTGAGTCACGTGGCCTCCGAGTAAAACGTGCCTGTGTATCACCGGTGTTTCACATGGCAGCCAATGTGTTAAGAAAAGATGATGGAGAACGACAGCAGAAACTCCCAGTTTATAATTTGACCTCGTCTTCTTGTAGAGGAGCAATGCTAACATGTAACTCATTTTAAAATCCAGTTTCAAACATAACGAGGAAATAAACAACGATTTTTCGATACACCCGGTAAACGAAACAAATATTCCAAGGCCTACCAAGGAAATTCTATTTTTTTTGGAACAACTTATTTTTAGTACCTAATGTCTATGTTTGACATTATATATTTTTGGAATCAGAATTAAAAACTCTGTTCATCTGTGAAAAAATCAAATATATTGTCCTTTAGAAAAAATAAAGTTGATGCTGGAAGACAAGAGACGAAACGTCATATTGAAATTCTAATTATACTATCAGGAGGAGAAGAAGCGGTAATGTTATTATTCGATTTATTTTGAAATCACACTACAAATGAAGTCAGGAAAAAATTAAAACTATTTTTTGAAAATTCGATACATTTCCATAAATTCGATATAGTCGCAAAAACCCCTAAATGAGAAAAATGCATATACAATTGGAACGACGAAACGAAATTGTTGTTTCTGCTCTTTTATCATGAGATATTACAAGATAATCCGAGTATACCTTAATTAATCTTCTCAAGTGGCAATTATTATTGTTTTAATTATTTTGAACTGCCTTATTTGTGTAAATATTTTTTTATTCAAAACTGTTTATCATTTTAAATAAAGGGCATCATGAACATCTTAGATAATTAAATGAATTATTGTTCTAGTAAATCTTTTACCGTCTTTTCGCTTCGGGCGGGCAAAGTTTTTTTAATTATGGATAAGTGACTAATAAAAGATTTTCAAAAATTGTTGTACATCTGTGACGTTGACGAAGACTCGTTTCCTAGGTAAATCTGGTTTGTAGATCCCGCATCCGTCAATTTAATGCTGGAATCTAAATTTTTACCACTAATTTGGGTTCGGAATTCCTTAGAATTGCTCCACAAAAATATTCCAATTGATCGCCCTAAATTATCTGAACGTACAGAGCTTCAAGCTCATGAAATTACTTTTAATGAAAGTGTGCTCTCAGCACCTAAAAGTCGCATAGACTAATCGGATGTATACTAAGTGACATATAAATCCGAACACCCAGTTTAAATGGTTTTATTTTAATAAAATTTTGTATAAGTACTTAATGAAGCATAATAAGTAAATGATAAAAGTTTCAAAATGATTGCACTGCTTTAAAGCCCTTTGACCTTTAATAATGTGTGGATGCACCCTGATGTGCTACGCATTCTCCAACGCGCCTAGGCATGCTTCTGATCAGGTGGTCAATGTCCTCCTGTGGTATCTCATTCCAGGCAACCAGCAACTCCTCTCGAAGTGCTTCTAGAGTCTGAGGAGGACGTTGCAAATTGAGCAATCTCCTACCCATCATATCCCACACGTGCTCAATTGGGGATAAGTCGGGAGATCTTGGTGGCCATGGTAACAATGTGACATCATTATGTTGAAAGAAGTCTATTGTGACTCTTGCAACATGTGGTCGGGCATTATCTTGTTGGAAAGTTGGATCTGCCAGGGTGTTAACATAGGGTAAAAGATGGGGTTCTAGAACTTCGTGGATATAACACTGCGCGTTCATGTTACCTCTGATGAAGATTAAAGGTGACCTGGAACCATAAGCTATAGCACCCCAAACCATAACTCCAACAGTGTGATGAACATGTCTTTCAACAAAAAACTGTGGATTCCTCCTTTCACCACGTCGCCTTCTAACCCTGGCACGACCATCGTGCATGCCTAAACAAAATCGAGACTCGTCACTAAAGACAATACTGTTCCATTCCTGATCCCAGAGTGACCGTTGTCTGCACCACTCAAGGCGATTACGTCGGTGTTCTCGAGTTAAAGGGAGGACCCAGTGTGGCCGGTATGAAAACAAGCCAAAACTTCTCATTCATCGGTAAACACTTCGCATGCGAATAGGTCTTCCGTGTTCTGAAAACCATTCATTTGCAATGGACCTGGTAGTGGAGAAACGGTCCCTTAAGGCCAATAATCTTAGGCGGCGATCTTCACGGTCTGTTGTTCTACGGCGGCGTCCAGTGCCCCTTGCTCTTTGCGTACGGCCTTCTCGAAGCCATGCCTGACAACACCTAACCACAGTGTCTACACTTCTTTGCACTCTAACTGCAATTGCCCGAAAAGAAAGTCCAGCTTCCCGAAGTCCCACTATACGGCCCCTATCAAACTCGCTAAGTTGACGAAATCGTACAGGTCTCCGTACTCTAGGCATCGTAACCGATCGTAAAGGATGTCAAGAACCAAAATCCGCCAACGTTGATTCTTTACTGCGGCTGAAATATTCATTTTTAGAGGGTTAGTGAATTAAAAAAAAGCAGTATAAAAACGGAATATCCAACTGATAAGGCTGAAAATTTTTTCCCTTGTTATTTACAGTAAGATAAATACATTCACCAACTTTTATTAAAATAAAACCATTTAAACTGGGTGTTCGGATTTATATGTCACTTAGTATATATGGCGAGTGAGTGGTAATAATCCAAATTAAATGTATAATTTTACTGAACTATAACTAAAATTACCATTATGCTAATAAGTTGTCGGTGGACATGTACTCATTTTTTTCCCTTGGCGTAAAACTTAGATAGATCTTGTCGTCCCGACCTTCGATTGATTCATCATTGCAATTCTAGAAAAGTTGAAGAATTCCTCGGGAATTTTCGTACTGGGAAAGTTTTCTTAAATGATACGTGATACATTATAGGGTATACACGCACATGTTATTTAAAATAATTAAGTTTTCCGCTATCTTTTCATTGATACAATTTTAGTTTCAGCGTTACCAATTAGAAATTATTGACTTGAGTAGTTGAGTCTGTGGTTATGTTGTGGGGCACGACATTGCATATACCTAACATGAATTGAATCCAAATCAGATCGTCCGTTTTGAAGATTTTGAATTAGATATCGAATTATTTTTTCTGGGTGTAACACTTATGTCATTGAGTATACCTATTCAACTTTCTAGCTACACCGACATGCTAAGCGTTATTGGTGAAATATGAGACATGCTGGTCCTCAAAATTTTTTGCCTCCCAAAAAAAATTTTTTTCACGCCCTAAACTGTTTACAAACTTGGAAAATGGAATATATGGTGCATCATGTATTTCGTTCTTCAATCTTCAATCAGAACTCTGCCGATTTCCAAAACCTACAAAGGGTTTTCGTCTTTGGCATGGTATATAGTTATATAGTAACCATAAGTCAAAGTATTTTCAAAATCCAACCGTTATTTATCTAGTTATAGAACGACCAGAGATTAAAGGATATTCAAATCGACGGAAATTTTTTCACAGAAGCAGCCGCACAGGCAGAGCCTAAATGCCAGGGCACCTGCGCTGCAATGCGGAGAAAGAAAGTTTCGGCTGTACCCTAAAGGTACAAGAGTAGGGTTGTCATCTGCCATCCGTCTGCCAGTCAAGTTTTTAAGAGGAACTGATGTCAAACCCCCACTCCCCCGCCCCCAAAGATGAGAAGAACATCTTCCTATAACAAGTTTTTGACCCAAATTTCTAGTAGTTTTGTGCCTCCACAACACCGTGGTCCGAGTTACTCAGGGGAGACAGGACAGTAGTGCTGCAGGATGCGTGGTCAGAAAGCGATCTAACGAGCAACTGGCGTCTGACGAAACGCCGGAGAAGAGAGTGGGGCTCGTGACCAGCTGGGTCAGTCCTTGAGTTATGGGAACACTTCAGCAGTACAACCAGCTGCACCGGTCTTGTTTGAGCCCGACCAGAGCTTATTATGGGCATTGAGATCACAGAGGAGAACTACCTCTGAAGCGGGGTGATTGATGTTAGGAAGTCGATCTTCACAGCGAAGTATTGAAGTAGGTCGTCCTAGTTATGGCCCGAAGGAGAGCGATAAAGGCAGCAAATAAATATGAGGGATGTTCTGTCAGATTCCAAAAAAAAAAAAAAACGTCTCTGAAGCAGGAAAGACTGCTGCAGACAAAAGCCACAGCTCTCCCGTTCTTCCTCAGATTGGAGTGCACCACGTAATTTGGGAAGCCAAGATGATGAATCGGTGCAGAACTGAGATTTTGATCTCCGCCAAGAAAAACATGGCGGGACGATTAGACTGCAGGTGGTGTTGAACAATATCAATGTTGCAGATGTTCGTGAAACAAATTTTATCATCGATGTTGTTTCTTTGAGTCCACCCTCCACTGAAAATTGAGTGAGTTTACGTCCGGAATTTTTAGTGCTCCATGGATCCATCATCATTAATTTCTTTGTTGGGAAACATATTCGAGTGCGTGGAAACAAGTGGACATTCCTAAGACACCATGGAAAAAGCTACTGTGTGGTACCGCCTCGGTCGACAGTTCCTTGTCTACCACCTCTTTGAATATACACACAAAATGAATTGAAGAAAAAATACAAAATACATACTAAAAAGTATATTACAGTAAAATCCAGTTTTACATTTAAAATAAATATGTATTTAATACGCAGTAAATAATAATTTACAATAAATAATATTGTCAGAACCAATATATCCGCAACATCACATTCAACAATCGTGATGTATACATACTTATTTTCACGCTACTAATAACAATATATATCACAAAAATTTACAACAATTGCTGTTGTAATACTTTCTAACAATACGTTCGGCCTCCAAGCATTCTACAGCTAGTTCGCGAAATAATTTTTTGATTATTCTTTACTCGCACTCTCATTGACGACTCAAACAGCTAATATAGTTATAGTACTTGTACTAAACTCAAATTTGTTGTTTAATAATATTAATAATAATAATAACAAGTAACGCTCCTAGTGGCGGTCGCAAGAACTGAGGTATATACATTCTTTAGTTCAAGCGCTGACCGCTGGGCGCGCTTGGGTAGCTATGTCTATTAAATACCCTCACACCCCAAAAACTTGGCAACCTTGCATTTATGTAAAAAAGGTTCTAAGTCTCAGGTTATCAAAAAATAATGTATCGGTGTCATCAGATATGACCTTAACAATGACCTCAGGGGTCATTTGGAGGTCAATTTTTTAAATTCAAGTAGTAACCCCAAAAAGGTTCTGAGAAAAGTTTCATGGTATCAAATATATTATTTGTCTATGACCTCAGATATGACTTAAATAATAGGTCAACAAGAGGTCATTTGGAGGTCAAATTTGTAAACTCAAACAGCAATAACTATTTTTGACAGTAGGTTCGTGTCGAGCTCGGGATTTATCATCAGGATCTATTTTCGTACACGAGGTCAATTGGTCATTAGTGATTAGTAATAGTCTACGTCTTAAAAGATCAAAAAGAAATCATGGTATGACCTGTTCTGTACTCTGACGATACAGAGTGAGGAAAAGTGCGTTGTCGCCACGTTTTCAAAGTGTTCGTGTACTTCTCAGATGTTACAGTAGGTCATGCTGATTGAACCGCTCATATTTGGAGTGATGGACGAATTGCGTTTAAGGTCTTTAAAAACCTTTCTTTTCGGGATGTACGTGTACTTTCCAGACGTTACAGTAGGTCAGACTGATTGAACCACGTATGACCACTTGACCTCATGTATGAAAATATCGAGTTCGACACGAATATATTGTCAAAAATGGTGGCTGCTGTTTGAATGATACCCTCAAAACATTTCTTGAAACCTTTTTTGAAAAATGTATGGTTTTCAGAATGTTATGGTATTTAATAGCTTAACAGGATAAAAAAATAAAATAAATTTTTAAACATAATTGTTAAACGGAAAATTAAGTCTATGACATATGTCACATAAACTGAAAATATTAGACCTCTAGCGATTTTGCCCCACACGAACCTTCTGCCAAAAATGGTAGCTGCTATTTGAATTTACAAAGCTGACCTCCAAAGTTCATTGTCTAGGTCATATTTAGAGTGATCGACAAATTGCTTACAAAATTCGTTTTTGCGTTTTTCATACTGATAAGAACGTGTAAATAATGTTTAATCTATATCGTGGGTGATCTGAATGAAGAACGGTCGATTTTTGTTTTTAGTTATTTATTTATAAAACTGGCACGCGCGTACACTAATGAGGAGTTAGTGGAGATTCTTTCAGCGTACGGAGAAGCAGGGCAAAATTCGCGAGCGGATTCTCGTTTGTGTGCACACCGATTTCCGAACAGGCACATACCACATTACGAAACATTAGGTCAATTGTTTTACGTGCACGTGCTAGTAGAGATTTGAGCTCCAGACGTTGAATGGATGGGGGTCGGGTTCGCACACAACGCGTTTTAAATGCCGAAGACGAAATTTTTGGATAATATGGAAGAAAATTCGGGAATAAGCACAAGGCACCCTTAGCCCAACAGGTCCCGGAAGTGTCACATGCAACAGCGTGGCGCATATTACATGAGGTTTAACTGCAGCCAATGGAACCAATTTTAAACAGCTTTTATAAGTAAATGAACTGCTAAACTGTATTATTTTATTATCTCGATTTCTGTAGGACTTTTATTACATTTTGTTTTGAGAAATCAAATTCTTTCATAACAGTTCATATGTGGTTAAAATTTGTCGGATAAGTTGTGAAACACTGTATATACCGGGTGACCATGAAAATTGGAAACACTCTGTATTTTTTTAGAAATGAAAATATCGTTTCAGGATTGGGACATTAAGAGGCATTTCTGGAAAGTTGAATGAGTTCTCCCCCTTCCGTTTTAACTTAGTGTTACTCCACACATCTGTTGAATGCAGGACATATTTAAATTTGAATATCCCTGCCTAAATAACCAATATATGAGCATTCCAATGGCTTGTGGGCCATCTTTGTCGCTCATTTTCCTATAATGCTGCTAGTCTCTCAATGGTTTTCCTGTCGAGTACAAAACCACGAATCTATCTTGTTTCCATAAGCATGTTAGGTTGTACTTACAGAGCTCTACGCACCATGAAACAAACATGCAGGAAACACGTGATAAATTGTCAGTTGCAATGCCAACTAGGAAAATCTTAGTTTTTTTAAATTACTAATGTTTGGCAATTTCAATCTATGTCATATTATACATTTTTTGAATCAGAATTAAAAACTCCATCCACCTGTGAAAACATCCAATATAGCATTCTTAAGGATAACTGTTGATTATTGAGGACACGAGACGAAACGTCATATTGAAATTCTTATTATACCGCGCAAAGTGCAAAGATAATGTGCAAGTTATTAAAATATCCTACCTCGAGTAAAGTCGGGTAAAAATTAAACAGATTTTTGAAAAAACCGTTTATCTTCGGAAGTACCTTGAACTGAGAAACTTTTTCATATTCAATACTGCTTAGCACTTCAGCATCTGCGGCCGAGAATAACGGACTATTAAAAACGTATATTCTGCGAATGAATACACACACGACTGCCCGCGGCAGCCTCTCGCAGCGTGTGCCAGGCTTTTGAGGTCATAGAAACCCAGAAAATTAATTGGATTTTTTAGGGAGCTACATTACTACGATGTGTCATTTGATTGCTGTTAAGTGTGTGACGTCACAAAAACAATCTATCTTAAAATTTCATTCTAACCATATTCAACAAAATCACAATTAACTATTTTCGTTTGTTGTTATGTCGTTGTTCGTCTTGTCGCCAATGTTTTTCTGTGTCTGATCATCAGTTCTGTTCCTTTGTGTGCCACTACGTTTTCCCATCATTTTTGTCAACGCCATCTTTGTTAGACGGACAAATGGACACTCGAACATTAAACAGTATAGGTAGGACATGTAGAATGTGTTCAGAGATACTGCGCAGATAGACAATGTCTGAAAGTATATCAAACAATAAATCCTGTGCGGATAGCTAATACCGCAAGGTGTAAAAAGATGTATGCTACAAAAGTATAATGTTTGAATTTTAGGGAATAATTTCAAATCCAAGATCAAATCGATCCATGTACTACTTAGCATTGAAAAATAGCTGGCAGTAGTTTATAGAAGTACGAAGAAAAATAAGATTTAATTTCGCGTTGGTAAATAAAAGTTCCTTTAGACAGTCTTACTCACCATACCAGCCTTTAAACTAAATGCCGTCTCAGATCCCAAAAACATAATTTGGGCAGTTAAAGGATTCAGCAGGTATGCACAGTACGTCATCCTACTGAGAGGTATGAATCCCTTGAAGGACAGGAACTTGTTTAGGAGTGCTGAAAATCATGTTGGATCAATAGATAAATATAGTATTTATTGCCTACACACGTATGCTGGATTATACTGTATTTTATGCAGAATGTTGCACCGATGTTTTACTCGTGATAGCATACTGTATGTTATAGAGATTGAAAGCAAAAATGTCCACTTCAGGAATTATGATAATTTGAAATAATATAAAATTAACAATCATGCAATATGTGGCATTCCTTCATAGTATTTGATAAATAGAAAATTCCACCTACGCGCATTCCCCGTACAGCAGGCAATCAAGATCCATGATATTCCAATACCCCACAGCACTCTAGATGTACCCATGTAAAAAGCTGAATATTCTATTGATATTTGTCTGGTGTATATCGTGAATATTATCCATAAATTTAGCAGTGGGAATATTGTCCACAGAAATATCCTTGTACTCTGTAAAAAGAAATGTTAAAGAATAATAAATTCAATCTTTTATAATGTCGAACAAATTTTGCAAAAATATATTTAATAAATATTTCATCAATTTTAAACAGGGGCGGACTTAGGGATCTGTCTAGGGGGGCAGTGGTGGTAGTAGGATTCACGTTTAGGTAAATCTCTCAACGATTCAGATCTAGCAAAGAAATTTTCGCATCAAGGTACGAGTACATCAATTAGCGACCGACTAAGTTTCAGCCAAAAAAAAGAGATTTGACCAGTTTTGTTTTCGTCCACAAATCGTCTAGCTGTACTGGGATGTTTGTTTGCTACATATTACAATTGCATTTTGTGAAGTAAAATAGATCTTTCACTGAAAAATTATGACCGTAATGTGCCAACTTTTCTCTCTCTAGGTGAAAAATGAAAAACAAAAAACACTTATGTAAATAATTCATGTTATTTTAAATTATATTGTGATTATATCATTATGTCATTCTGAAAACCAATCTTTATATCATGAAATATTTGAATACGAGTGAGAAATGGCTGATGTTGGATATTAATCGTTGTGTAATTATCCTTCTCTAAGATCGGAACAATATTGGAAAACTGCTTTTAGTGCTAGCAAAAAGAACACACAATTAGTCAGAGTTAGTATATGACTTCCCTTGAAAACGGTAAAGGCCTAGCCCAAATCTTATTCCCGTTACGTTTGACTTTAATCTTCTCAACCTGACAGCAGGCTAGTAGATGTTTCATAGTATTTACAAAATAAATAGGAAACATCACTATCGTTAATATAGGTTTAGGAAATGTGACGCTAATCAGTGGATATATCTAAATTAAATGTACTGATCTAAAGTTTTAGTACTGAAGTAAGATTCTCTTAGCTCATTTGATTAGGCCATTATTGATCGCACCTATCGCATAAACTGCACGGCCACTACTGGTCCATTTCACAGCAAAGGTATGTAATATACTGTAAGTTTACTTCACAAATTAACTTTAGTATTTAATTCCTTGAAACCTTATTGAGCAAGAAAAACACATTATAAGTGTTCCTATAATTATGCGATCCTCCAGATTCCATGCAATTATGTACATCAGTCTAAGAAGTTTCGGTTTCAACAGAAACTAGGACAGAAGCCGAAAGATTTTTGATTTCGGCTGAAAGTCCGGTTTGGGTTGGTTACTAATAGCAGTACAATTTCATAAAAATGACAGGTTTGGATTTCCAAATCGCCAGTGATTTTAAAATATGTATATAGCATCTTGATGTACTAACCCTTTGTAAGCTTAGCTTGTTTTGAAGCCTCACTTTTAGGAAGTAGGCCGTTATTACTCCGACAAGGTATGGTCCAATTCTGTGCCACGGCAGGTCATAGATAGCATCTAGTTGAGCAAATTGTTCATCCATCCTAAAACAAAATATGTTTTCTCAGGAAATCTGTAGATTAAACATAAAATGTTTCCTCGAAGTTGTTCCTAAGAAACGTCACTAAAAATTTTACGATATTGCATAATTCTCAAAATGGGGTGGGTACATAATAGTCATGATCGATTTTTCAATGTTTGCTAGCTGGTAACAACCAGTTTTTCTACATATTTATCATACATTTTATGGACCTTGTGGAACGTTTTTTAAAAAGACATACTTAATAATATTATCGTGTGAGTGATTATTTGAGGAATCCAAAGACGCATATTTATACCATATACATACTATATAAACTATTACTTACGTGGGGATATATCCAATAGAATACGTTTTCATAGACACAGACACAATGTTAACTAAAACTAACAATATCGTAAATGCTGCAGCAATTTTAAATACTCTGAAAAAAATAACATTATTATATTATAATTAGGATCAAGAAAATGTGTTGGGTAGATTGATTCGAAGTGTGCCATTACCTATTTCCTACTTCTTACCTATTTCTTTTACACTTATGAAAAACGAATACTTCACACTACTACTATACATTTTATATATATATAAAAGAAATGATCATGCGGAGAAAGGTATACACCTTGGGAAAAACCATTATTGTACATTATGATGAGGAAGAGAGATGGAAATATACAAAAGAATGTAGGTGCGTGAAAGACACTCGATTGTAGGATCCTATCGGCAGCGTCGCAGTGTGACGGACAACGGGGTAGAGTTGAAGAGTGATAAAAGAGAGAGATGGCAGAACGGGCGCTGGCGCCTACCGCTTAGATGGATGCGCTCAACAAATGCGATTTGTTTCTCCCATTCGCAGAGTTGCCGATACCAATATGTCATATTTCTAAGATCTCTAAGTCTACCCAAATTTCGGGAAAAATAACTGCGGACTCCACATAAGAGTATTCCAAAAATGAAAAAAGTTCAAACTATTAAAATTGTATTAATGTTTCGTGGTTCAAATCATATTTTTCATGTTTGTATATTGTTGTATAAATGATTTTGTAATCCCTATTCTTGTTGCCAGTAGAGATACAACAGTATTGAGAGAAATCATGGACCGCTAGATAGGGCTACAACTACCATATGACTATCAAATAGTAGTGATAAACAGGGTTTGTTTATAGCATAGTTGCCTGGTGTGGCGAATTTGCGCCATAAGGGCGATTTGACAACTTTGAAGGACAACTATAACGGTTACTATGGTGCCCGGTATTCAGGAATCTGGCAATACCTGATGATTCCTAACGTTTATTACGCCAGATTGTTTGCTGACTTGCGCAGTACAACATGACAATCAACGTGACTGAGCACCTGGTAACCCTGGTTTAAGGTGTTATATTTAAAGAGCTTGGGGCAGTTAGGTATCTAGGTCACATTTTTTAATGTATTTCGAGAAATCCGTAATGTTGAGTAAATACTAGATCACGTTTCTTGCTTAGTTTGCTGAAAATTCTACAATAGACGTACATTTTGAGAAACGGAGATTTGGTGACGACAAAATCGTAAAAATATAACGCATTTACGTATAATAATTTCTTTGTTGAAAAGACTGTGGCTTGATGACCCATTGAACGAGTATAGTGTCCCGCTCCGCTTTGAATATTCGAAACACTATACTCCAGCAGCATTCAGCTTCAATGTTATCTTTATGAAGTTCTAACGTCTAGGCCATGCTGATTAAAAGCTTGAATGAATCAACACTTAACTCTCAATTCCCCACAATTCGGGAAGCTCTACTCAAATTGGCAACACAGCGTATCTGCCTATTATTCTCATTCGTGATACAGGTCTGCGGTTAACGGTAGGAAATATGTACGAATAGCGATGAAAGTAGACGAGCCGATGCGCTGTTGCCAAGAAATGATTTCCCATGTATAACAATGGTTTTTCCTAAGGTGTATATCAAAAAGTAGGAAAACAGTGGGCAAAATCCGCAAAAAGGAGGAAAGTGGATTCGAGCAGAAAATAGGATAGGTAACCCGAGCGTATTTCTGCTGGTTGGCTTTATGAGGCCCGAAATGAATGCACATATATATACACGCCCACACGTCCGGGTACCCAATTTCTTATAGGAAGGATTGCAACTAAAATCGTACTTACACAGTGGACAAAATAAGCAAGGCAATAGCAACCATAAACGCTTGAGTGTCTAAAGATAAGTACCATGACCAACTGAGACACATCTCGGACCTAGGATACAAATTGTTGATGTACAACAAATTTCTCCACCAGTACTTTTCGCACAGTTGGTCTTGCTTCTCGAAGGAAGTTAGCGATGAGGAATATTTGTAGTATGTGTAAATGTACTCTGCGAATATGATCAAGATGATGTACGGAGGCGTCAAGCTAAAAAAAAGATTTTATTTGACGTATTGAAATCGTATACAAGTATATTTCTTGACAGTAACCATGGTTTCTGAGACGTCTACGAAGAATTATCTGTGACTACGCCCTCAAGTGATGGAATTTAGAGGACGGTGTGAAATGTTGTTTATATGGTTGTTTAATCACATTTTAAAAAATGGTTGACTTTGCACCTCCTATGCAATGCTTTCATCAATTCATAAATTATTAAATTCGACTCAAGTTAGTCGCTTTTAGAAAAAAAGTATAACAAAGGAATTTATTGGATCATGTCAGTGAACAGGCTCACAGATTTGACAACATTGCGACCTCAGCATTCGAAGCAGACATACGTACGCTCCTTGCGTTATCCGCCCCGCGTATATGTATATTGAAAATACGTATCTATCATTAGTGTTTTTAAATATGTCTAATAGGTGCATAACATTACTGGGGCTATAAACGTGTGAATTGCTGGCATCAAAGAATTGATATAGATGCTCCCCTACCTCCCAACATACAATTTTTAACCATTGCAAAAATTATTTTCGGAAATGATGAGAATCCGCTGAAGCGTCAAAAAAACTAAGCTTGAGCAATCATTTTTTTAATATTTTTGTCTCTAGCTCCACCGCTACTTGACCAATTTTCAAAAATTGCAAAGATTTTTTGTCATTTTTATTCGCGTTTATAGTTCCTAAGTAAAAATTGTTATCTCTAAAAATCTACAATCACGAAATTTGGGATGCTTTACCTTTTTCTTGTTTTTTTTTCATTATAATTGTCGCAAAATACGATTTTCAAAAATACCTAAGCGATCGCTAGTTACTAAGAGCTCACAGCATCTTCGGAATCTTGATATTTTACGATATTATTAAACATGAGGTATACTAAATCTTTACTGCAAAATTTGAAGAAAACTCATCATCTAGCCTAGCTCGAGAGTTGATAAATCTGTGGTTTCTTCTGACATTATTTCATTTTACATACAGGGTTTGTCCGGAAAGTAATAGGAATGAGTCGATTTAAAAAAAATTATTGGGCCAATCGTTAGAATTCTTTAAAAACTTTCAAAATAGGCTCCTTCTGCGTCGATGCAGCACTGCCAGCGCGATTTCCAAGCATTGAAGGCGTCACGGAAGGCATTCTCCGGAATAGCCGCGGAGCATGCTGCTTGGATCCCCTCTGTCGTCTCAAAATGCTTGCCTTTCATTGGCCTTTTTAGGCGAGGAAACAAAAAAAAGTCCGGGGGGGGGGCACATCTGGGCTGTAGGGCGGCTGCGGAAACGTTGGGATGCCGGCCTTGGTCAGGTAGCTGTTTACTAGAAAGACAGTGTGAGCCGGGGCGTTGTCGGGGTGCAACATCCAGTCGGCTGCGATGTCTTGTCGGACCCGACTGAGCCTTCGTTTGAGTCTCCTGAGCACTTCCACGTAAAACTTGGCGTTGAGGGTTTGTCCAGGAGGAACAAATTCATGGTGAACGATGCCTTTGATGTCAAAAAAGACAATGAGCATCGTTTTCACTTTGGATTTGCTCATTCTTCCCTTTTTTGGGCGAGGAGACGCCGTCGTGTGCCACTCGGAAGATTGCCTCTTTGTCTCGCGATCATACTCAAAGATCCACGACTCGTCACCTGTGATTACGTTATTCAAAAGATGGGGGGTCACTTTCACACGTGTTCAAATTTTCTTGGCACACTTCCACTAGCCGCAATTTCTGGTCGTCAGTGAGCACTTTTGAGACCATCTTCGCGCACACCATGCGCATGTTCAAATGCTGTGCCACAATGTCATGAACCACAGATTTTGGTAAATTTAATAACTGACCAGTCGCTCATTCGTTAGCTAGGAACGCCCTCTACCGAATCCAGTCGATGCGCGCACGCTCTAAAGTACAGTCATGGCGGAAGAAAATGAGTCCTATTACTTTCCGGACAAACCCTGTATAACTATACTCGTAATATAAATGGTTAGAAAAGTGACCTTAAGAAACTTGATTAAAAACGTTGCATCGAAATTGGAATTCCATTCAATTTTCTAAATATCTTGTCTATATATACTAAGTGACATATAAATCCGAACACCCAGTTTAAATGGTTTTACTTTAATAAAAGTTGGAGAATGTATTTATCTTACTGTAAATAACAAGTGAAAAAATTTTCAGCCTTATCAGTTGGACATTCCGGTTTTTATACTGCTTTTTTTTTAATTCACTAACGCTCTAAAAATGAATATTTCAGCCGCAGTAAAGAATCAACGTTGGAGGATTTTGGTTCTTGACATCCTTTACGATCGGTTACGATGCCTAGAGTACGGAGACCTGTACGATTTCTTCAACTTAGTGAGTTTGATAGGGGCCGTATAGTTGGACTTCGGGAAGCTGGACTTTCTTTTCGGGCAATTGCAGTTAGAGTGCAAAGAAGTGTAGACACTGTGGTTAGGTGTTGTCAGGCATGGCTTCGAGAAGGCCCTACGCAAAGAGCAAGGGGCACTGGACGCCGCCGTAGAACAACAGACCGTGAAGATCGCCGCCTAAGATTATTGGCCTTAAGGGACCGTTTCTCCACTACCAGGTCTATTGCAAATGAATGGTTTGCAGAACACGGAATACCTATTGGCATGCGAAGTGTTTACCGACGAATGAGAAGTTTTGGCTTGTTTTCATACCGGCCACACTGGGTCCTCCCTTTAACTCGAGAACACCGACGTAATCGCCTTGAGTGGTGCAGACAACGGTCACTCTGGGATCAGGAATGGAACAGTGTTGTCTTTAGTGACGAGTCTCGATTTTGTTTAGGCATGCACGATGGTCGTGCCAGGGTTAGAAGGCGACGTGGTGAAAGGAGGAATCCACAGTTTTTTGTTGAAAGACATGTTCATCACACTGTTGGAGTTATGGTTTGGGGTGCTATAGCTTATGTTTCCCGGTCACCTTTAATCTTCATCAGAGGTAACATGAACGCGCAGCGTTATATCCACGAAGTTCTAGAACCCCATCTTTTACCCTATCTTGACACCCTGGCAGATCCAACTTTCTAACAATAGACTTCTTTCAACATAATGATGTCACATTGTTACCATGGCCACCAAGATCTCCCGACTTATCCCCAATTGAGCACGTGTGGGATATGATGGGTAGGAGATTGCTCAATTTGCAACGTCCTCCTCAGACTCTAGAAGCACTTCGAGAGGAGTTGGTGGTTGCCTGGAATGAGATACCACAGGAGGACATTGACCACCTGATCAGAAGCATGCCTAGGCGCGTTGGAGAATGCGTAGCACATCAGGGTGAATCCACACATTATTAAAGGTCAAAGGGCTTTAAAGCAGTGCAATCGTTTTGAAATTTTTATCATTTACTTATTATGCTTCATTAAGTACTTATACAAAATTTTATTAAAATAAAACCATTTAAACTGGGTGTTCGGATTTATATGTCACTTAGTATATTTGACTGTTCGGTATACTTCTCAGTAAGATGTGTGACCGACCATTTGTGATAAACTCAGTAAAAACTTACCGTAAGTATCTGTTAATATACATCTGGAAAAATTCGTTAATCTTTCCCATATAATTGATCTTTTTTTTCATTTCTTCATGAGGATTTTTTGCTTTGTAATACAAATACCCTACCAAGAAGCCACTGAAAATATAAAAAAAAATAATGGACCAGATACTACAGTATATTCAGATAAGAGATAGACCGGATGTAAACAAAAGGTTCGGGTGATTTTCACGCTAACGCCGCCGTCTCGACGTAAAACAGGAGCCCTCATTGGTCAATTCGCAATTAAATGCGTATGCCGAGCGGCAGAGCAGTCGTATCAAGGCAGAGTCACATTCAGGTTCAGACGTGTTACGTATGTCGTGTGCATCATTGCAATTTGATATTTCTTTGGACGTTTTCATTTGTTATCTTATTAAGTTGTTGAGTTTGTCGTTGTTATTGTTATACCTTGTTATTGATTGTTATTGTTATCAACTGCTTGCGCAAAATGCCCAGTAGTACAGATACTGCCGATGAAGTTGTAAACTCCTGTAGTCCACCTAGGAAACGCTCTAAAAAAAGACACCTGAGTTTTATATTGTGTACCGTTCCTAATATTTCTAATCATTTTAATTCATACTTTAAGCTTTATAAAGTTATAATTTGTTGTTTGTTGATCATTCATTTTTTAAAGGTTTATAACTTTAAATTAAATTGTGAAGCGCTGAGTAATCATACGACGTTCAATATTCTTTCTTTCAATATGACTAAATAATCCCAATTATAGCAATCTGATACTCATGTCTCAATGTTGTTTCGCTGAATGTGATGAAAACATTTGAAAAAGGTTCGCTTATTGAAATAAATCTACACCAGTTAGTACTTCGATTTCCAGGTAAAGGGAAAAGGCTCATTATCTGCCATATTGGCAGTGAGGATGGATTTGTTGTTGACGCTCTGTGGTGCTTTGAGTCTAAGAAAACTGGAGATTACCACGAGGAAATGAATGGCGAATCGTTTGAACAGTGGTTTTCAAAAATTTTACCGAACTTAGAGGAAAACGCAGTAATTGTGTTGGATAATGCGCCTTATCATTCTCGAAGAATGGAGAAGGTCCCAACAACGGCTTCAAGGAAAGTTGATGTTCAAAATTGGCTCCGTTCGAAAAATATCAACTTTGAAGAAGCAATGCTGAAAGTACAATTATTAAGAATTGTCAAGGATCACAAGGCGGAATATCAAAAATACGCCATTGACGAAATGGCAGCAAGTCAAAATAAAACTGTGCTCCGTTTACCTCCATACCATTGCGAGCTCAATCCCATTGAGCTCATATGGGCAGAGGTTAAAAATTATATAGCTAAGCACAATACAACTTTTAAATTTTGTGACCTCAAAGCACTTTTCAAAGAAGCACTAGAATTAATAACAGCGCAAAAATGGGAAAACTGTATTAAGCACGTGAAAGACAAAGTTGAAAAGAGAATGTGGGAACTGGACAATATTTTAGAGGAACAAGTCGAGCCATTCATTATTGACGTTGGTGCTTCAGGCAGTAGCGATGATGAAAGCTCATCAAGCTCATCTTTCCAATAAAAGATGTCGTTCATCAAATTCGGTAAGTTATAAGTAATTATAAAGCTACTGTATTTTTTAATTAATTATTGACATTTTTGAACCCATTTTGGCAAAACCTATTCAAGAATCTACTTTCTGACAATGTTCAACCATGCACATTTTTTTACGTTTTGAACGTTTTAATTTGGTTACATATTTACCTAGAAATCAAAAAAGATACTAATCAATATTCTAAAAGCAATTTTAAGAGATAAACGATTATTTTTAATTTAGGCTAATTTAAACGCCATTTTGAGATTATATTCGACTGTATTTCACCAAACATCAGGCGGCATCCGAAGCTGGAAATCGAAGCGAAAATTTTGAAACCCTTATGTATATTTACATCATTATATATTTCTTACCCCACCCCCACATGATCCTATATCCATATACACATCGAATTGTGCTAATTTACTACAAAGTTACGCAAAGCAGCATCTACTATCTAAAATATGTACTGCGTGACTCTTAATACGTCCCTGCCGAATGCTACAGCGTTCGATGATCACGTGGTCTTGTTTATGTCCGGTCTATCTCTTATCTGAATATACTGTAGTGGGTAACGTTCGAGAGAAAAAATCAATTCCTTGAAAAAGCGTTAAGGCGAGAGTCCTTGGAGGATTCTTAGAAGCAAAGCTCGTATAAACGTCTATCTCTTAATTTTTTGTTTGCAATATACCAAATGTCAATCTTTTTTTGAAATTTTGAAATGCTAGAAATTCATGTTAATGCTAAATCAGCTAAAGAAAAAGAATTCTACATCTAGCGGTCTAGATGGCGAATTTTTGCTCCACAAGCATCTTTCTAAAACTCCATTGGTAAATCCTTTATCTCTACCTATAGACAACCGATATCAAACTTGAATACAGCGATATAGGGGAGATTTTATGCTTACCTGATTACCAAATACGTGTCAACGCAGTACGAGGAATTGCTGAAAACCTGCGAGAAAAACTGCTCGGAAACCCTAAACCCAACCGCTGGGTCCTTGAAGAAATCGACTTGGTAGAATATCGAATGCACCGCGATGACCCAAAGCATGCCCAAAAATCTGAGACCGTGGATGCATCCGATTGAGTCTGAGGCTAGCTTCGTTTTCATCAGGTTCTTTGTGTTTGTGTACACTGAGAAACATACTAGGATTTTTTCTAACGAGCTTGGTTCACGATTTGAGAGTTCGCTGTCCAAGCCGGGTGGTACTAGCTCGACTGTTGTAACTGGAAGATTAAGAAAATTGTGTGGATTGTTTCAAACTTCGAAAAGTAGTGAACATGTTAAAATATATGTAATTCACAATAAACGTTTTGCATATTTGATGATGAATTATTTAAATTCTAGAATTTAACTAGTAAACTTCAAGAAAAGTAAAATCAAGTTTACTCTGCATTTCTTATGCAACGCTGTCATCAGTTCACAAAGGAATTTGCGATTACAATACTTTCTCGCCCAGTGGCGTATGAAGTAAACATATGAGTTTGGAAGACAGGGGACATACTGTTTGTAGTGACGCATTTTACATTCATAGTAATACCAGCATTATGTCCACTGATTAGGTTTTTTTCTTTATTATGCGTCCTTACATCTAAGATAGTACCCACGATGCAAAGCAACAGCGTAATAATCAAAATAACTCTGTAACAAAAACCATTTTTTAGACATAGGAATACTCAGCCTTGGGTAGTAATCGAATACTATTCAGAATACTACAAAAGAAATGAGATGATGACAGATTTTGTTAAACATTCCTTTTTCAAAAACTTTCGTTGTCCAAAAATAGGTAAAGTAAAGAAAATACTTACAAGAATATTATTGTTTTCGGCGACATGAAAACCCATCCAGCATCTTCTCTTAGTTTCTTAACATCAAGAACATCAAGTTTCACTTTGTAGATGTCCTGAAATTCTAGACTGTCTTCAGAAAAATACTTTTTCGATAAGTGTTTGAGATCATCACTGCTACAAGATTTTGGGATACATAATCCGAGTTGTACAGTCCACTGGAAGCACAAAGAAAATGTAACTTGTTATGAACAGGAAGCTAACTTTATAAGGCATAATGATTTTTGGTTGTTTTGTTCATAAAGAATAAAGTCTGACTTTGGAGTACACGAAGGTTTAGAAACCATATTGCAGAGCAGCATCACGAGTCTGATTCTAAATAAACTTCGACCCTTGAAATTACTTTTGATGGGACCTTGCTGTCAAACACATGATCATAATTTCGTACCGTATGTCTGATACGGGTCCTCCCCAATTAAAAATTCTCAAGCGCCAAACCTTAGATTGTACGGCTTCCTATAACAGCTGCAACAGCTGAAAGAAGCTTTTTAAAATTAAAAGTTATTATAATATTGTAGAATTTCTATGAGGCTACTTTGACTACAAGCATGGTACTGTTTTAAGAGGCTGAACATTTCGTAAAATTAAAATCATTTTCTGCTATGGATGGTAGATACATTTTTTGGGTGTCCCAGAAGTCGACGTCAAGCCGAAACCGGGTGATAGGCAAAGTCATAACAGCTATCAGAAAAATATTTAAAAAAATTTTTTTTATGTGTTTTGAAAATTATAGGTCTTTGAAAAAAATATAGAAATTTCACACCCTACGGCAATCTGTCAACTCCTGTTACTACAAATATTAACTTTTTTTGGATTTTATTTTTACAATGTAATGATGAATAATTCATCTTCAAACTGGTGTCTCAACCTTACTGCCAACTTTTCTCGTTCAGGAAAAATTGTCACTTATTTCCCAACCAAGTATTCCAAAGTAAAACTTTGCTCAACTTTAACTGGCTGTACTGGAAAAAATGTACTACGAGAGTTTGGCAAGTAACCTTAAAAGTTGGCGCATTTAATAACGATTCCAAAATGGTATAACACTTAGAAGATTACTCGTTAACTTATGCACAATTTTTATTTGAAAAAAAACTCATGAAAATTTTTCAAAATTTCCTAATTAAACAGCGATTATGAAAACGCACAAGGACCCTTAAGGATAACTGTTTGCACAACAGTGGGCGTCAAAATGCTGCTGATGATGATTTACCTTTACAGCAAATGCTCAAACTGTTTTCCTTCAGCCGCAATACACGCTCGACATCTTCTTAAAAAAGATCGGGTTATTAAACGAGCGAATCCACGGTTATTAACAAACTCAGCTGCTTCCAATAGTCTTTGCCGTAGCTCAGCTACATTTTGAATCGGCTTGAAATACACTTTTTCTTTTACAGTTCCCCAGTATAAAAATCTAAAGGATTCAAATCAGGTGATCGGGCTGGCCACGGTATTGTACCAGACCGCCTTATCCATCTGCCTGGAAAGTTTTGATCGAGATACTCTCTCACTGAGAGTGCATAGTGCGCTGGGCAGCCATCATGCTGAAACCACATGTCCCTGTAAATACTCAGTGGCACGTCCACCAATAAATTTTGTACATGATTTTTCAAAAATCCAAATAAACTTCAGCAGTTAAAGTCTCTGGGAACTCAAACGGACCGATTATTTTACCATTTAAAATTCCTGTCCAATGGTTTATCTTGAAGCGATATTGAGATTTATCTTCTCTCATCAAATGTGGGTTTGCTACGTACCACTCGTGTAAGTTATGCAGGTTCATGTACCCATCTTTCTTAAATGTGGTCTCATCCGACCATAAAATTTTTTCAAAGAACTGTGGATCTTTCCTGTGTCTTTCTAACATTGTGCGATAAAAAGCAACTCGGGGCTCATAATCCCGGGGCAGGAGAGGTTGAACACGCTGTATGTGGTATGGATGGAGCACGAGACCTATAATTTTCAAAACACATACATAAATTTTTTTTAAATATTTTTCTGATAGCTGTTATGACTTTGCCTATCACCCGGTTTCGGCTTGACGTCTACTTCTGGGACACCCTGTATATCGATTTTAAGTCAGCCAATTATTTTTCCAAATATCGATACCAATACTTGCTACCAAGCCGAATGACTTCAGCCTTCATCTGGACCAAATAGAATTTGATGAAGTTCACAAAGTAAAAAGAAGATTAATAGAAAATCGTGTTGACATCCATTTACATAAGGTGTCGCACATTCCCAGTTCTTGGACAATCCTGTTGTATGGAGTACTGCTGCTGCTACTTTGCTGTTTTCCCTACAAGAAGATCATTCCGAAGATTTTTACTAAGCCGAAGAAACCACAAAGAACCCCTATTGAAGAAGTTGGTATTTCCAATGTGCAACTTCCAATATTGTTACGGAGAGATGTTTCCATTTATTTTTGGTTAGAAATAACTGGTGGGCATGTAAGGCTTGCAGATCCAGTGGATCAGTTCGAAGTAGAGTTGCTAGCTGTTTAAAGCAGTGGGAGAACAAATAATTTCTACGTCGGGATGTTTTAACAAGTAAAAAACACACACGCCACTCGTTGTCCAAGAAACGGGTAGTCTGTTAAGAACATTTTTCTCCTTAAGCGGAAGCCAGGGAGAGGGGCATATGTCCCCCTAATGGGTGGCCTTGTTCGCTGATCTTGATTAGACTTCTAACTAGTCACAACACGTTGACGTGTTACTTCCATCTCACGAGGGCTACTGATAATCTGCTTTGTGGGCGATGATGGCTCTTCCGACCACATTTTAGGTAGCTGTGATACCTTAGCATATTATACACACACTATAGTGATGTCTCACTGTGTTTCTACCAAAAGGTAAGATGACACGTCACAGAAACATCGTGGCGTCTGAAAAAATGGGAGGTGATGGAAATTAGCTAGGATAGGAGCAAAAGGGCACACCAAGCGGGCGTCCATTAATTGCGTAAGGTGTTCGGAGGGTGGTGGGAGGAGGGAGGGGGTTTTGAGAGGGTCGAGTAGAATCTCACTTTGGGTAAAATCAGAAAATGATCAGGAGCTTCTGAAACTTCAAAAAACCAAGTTTAAGCGATACCGATTTTCAAAAACTACAAAGCTTTTTCATCCTTGGCATGGTAGTAACCTTGTGCAAATTACAGCAAAATCAGAGCGGTACTTATCAAGTTATAGGCGGTTATAAAATTAACGGACAGACCGATGGAAATAAGTGATATACATGTCATATAACATCCAAAAAACGTATCTTAGTTTTGAAAGTTTTGGCAAGGGAAGTGAAAATGGATCTGTCGTCTTATAAACAGCATTCAGGGGGTGTTACCTCGGAAGGCAGTTGCGTATGTTGCTGCAAAGTGCTGTTGTGTCTGGCGTATACCATAGCGAACGCCATCTGGAATGGTGGATAGTCATAAGGAGTCGGTGCAGCGTGCGGCACATTTTTGTTCACTTCGAACGGCTTCCTGTTCGAGATATCCACGCATTGGAAATGGGAGCCTATCCACAGGTTGTTGCCGTAGAAGAAGCCTGGTTCTGGCGTACCACTGGCGTCCAAGGCTACAATGATTCAAATATGAAGAAAATCATTCATTGCTGAACGGAATGCATACTATAATTTCGCTTAGATGTGTTCAGAGAAAAGTATGAAAGGTCAAACCAAACAAACTAATCTAAAAATGTGAAACGAAAAAGTTTTATGCAACCTTTTCATCGTTTACAAAATGTACTCATTGCTGAGCTGAGAATAACACTTTTGTCCATCCGAAGAACCGTGAGTTAACCGTATACATCTGCTTCATGCTTATTGGCAATCATCGGCAAGGTATAGGCCTGGTGACTAGGTAGGACAACGAACAAAAGCAGAGCAAGATATCCCGGAGGTATAAAGTCTATCCAAATACGACCTGCCATCTAGAACCACACCTCCTTCCTACTAAGAGACCGAGCCTAGACCGTGCTGATCATTGCCAATAAGCATGAGACAGTTGTATGCAGCTGGTCTTCGGTTTGTCGGACGGACGACGACTGTGGCTTCATTAGCTTGTAAGTATTGACTTTTGACAAATCCAATATATGTAATTTCATGTCAGATGGATAATAAATGTTATTATTAAAGCAGTATCATTTGTTTTCAATGGCAAATGTAGACTCTAATTCACAGTATTGCCAGAATCGATGGCATCGAGCGGTCACACTCGGCTTTCAACGCGAATTGATATACCCTTATGCCATCTCCAGACTCACTCGTGAATCGCGCGCGAAGCCGCGAATTACCCGCGACCCATGAGTGTGGAGCTCATTCGCGTATTTTTCGCAACTTCAAGTCGCGTTCGCGCGTTGTTCCCGTTTGTTTTCGGGTTTTTGTCCCGTTACAAAGGGTTCGCAAGGTGCGAACACGACTAGGCTCCTCATTCGCTGGTGTTTTCCGCCTCATAACGAGTGCCGGGAATGGTTGTGTTTCTTCCACTTCTTTTCAATTGCTCTAGTTTGACTTATACAGGGTGACTTGTAATGTCACGAATTCCTGTTAAGGGGTGATAGATTAGGTCAAAAGCAAAAGTTAACCATTTTTGAGTTATTTGAATTTTAAGTTTTTTATTTTTTATTCCGATTTCAGACGGTTAAGATTGAAATACAAAAAAACTGCATGCTTGAATTTGAGTTTTTTGTTATCGTCGCATAGCAGACATTCCAATAGTTCATAATAAGTAATAAAATGTTGAAAAGCTATAAACGTTTTAAAATTACGCTTTTTAAATGAATCATTTTCTTTTTTCTTACTAACTTATTCAATAAAAAATGCAATTTTCTGTAAAAAATCTCCTACTGAATGAAATTATGTAAATAATGTAATATCTCTATCTAACAAGCTTTCATTTGAGGTATTAAGAGTTCAATTATCTGAAGTACATGCAGAGAAACAACAATGACACCCACAGAGGCTGGATTTTTAAGGAATTTGTATTACCTGTTTGAAGAAGTCTTTACTGTCCTCAAAGGACTCGCATGCCATGGCATCGGCTCGACGAGGAAACGAGCGAGAAGAGCTGACTTAGTGGAGGAGTGAGAGAGAGAGAGAGAGAGAGAGAGAGAGAGAGCTGTTATTATTCATCATTGTAGTTACGCCATCGCCGCACGCCGAGTGAGAATTAGGTTTAGTTGGTATCAACTATTGCGTACGCGCACACGTTTTAAGCACGATTATTATTTTCGAGTTTCCCAGTTCATTTCGAGTGGTTTCTTTATCATCATGGCAGACGCAGAAGATCCGTTAAGACCTCCCCATAGCGAGCACGGGCAAACTTTTACAAATGAAGAATACGCAGGCATAATGTTCTGTTATGGACTTTGTAACGGCGATTCTGCTGCCCGCCGTGAATATCGGCAACGTGTCCCGAATCGCCGAACACCTTATGTTACTGTGTTTGACTCTGTGTCTCGGCGCATCCGCCAAACCGGACGTGTTCAAAGGCAACATAGTGATGCTGGTCGACCCAGAGTCTATCCTCCTGAAGATGAAGAGGAAATCCTTCGTGTGTTTCAGGAAGACCCTACTACGTCTACGCGCATTGTGGCTGCTCAGTTGGGTATATCACAATACAAAGTATGGTTTACTGTGCATACTGCAAGATTATACCCTTATCACTACACGCCTGTGCATGTGATTGAAGAGGGCGATCCTGCAAGACGATTAGATTTCTGCAGGTACATGTTACATGCAGATACAGAAGATCCAGACTACTTTAAGAAAATTCTGTGGACCGATGAATCGAAGTTTGATAAGGACGGGATCACTAACTACCATAATGCTCATTACTGGGCTGGTAAAGAAGCTTTAAACCCCCGAAAAATAAGACCGACGGGGTCTCAGAGCCGGTTTTCAGTCAATGTGTGGATGGGCATCATTGATGGATATTTAATTGGACCTCATTTTCTGCCCGCCAATTTAAATGGAGAAGTGTTTGAAGAGTTCTTGAAAGATCACTTGTTTCCAATAATGGAAGACGTCCCATTGGCGACGAGACAAAATATGCGGTTCCAGCACGACTGCTGTCCCGCACACTACAGTAGATTAGTACGGGCGTATTTAGACCAAATTTCCAAATCAATGGATTGGCAGAGGCGGGCCCATTGCCTGGCCAGCAAGAACCCCAGATCTCACACCGATGGATTACGTGTGGGGACATATGAAAAGCCTGGTGTACGATGTTTCGCCCGTACCAACGCGCGATGAATTAATTACAAGGATAATCAGTGCAGCTGACCAAATAAAAAGCCGCTTAACAACTAGAGTTACCAAAAGTGAATTACGTAAGAGAATGCGGGCGTTTTTTAGTAACAGGGGATTACAATTTGAGCAGAATCTGTAAAATACTAAAGGAAATGTAATAAAATAAATCTGTAATTAAAATAAAAGCCTTTTATTTATCATACGTAATTATCGATCGTACAACTTTACTCATCTTTTTTTTTGTCTTTGTACTTGAGTTAGTTGTAACTTTTATACCTCAAATGAAAGCTTGTTAGATAGAGATATTATTTAAATAATTTGCACATTTCATTACTAGGAGATTTTTTACAGAAAATTGCATTTTTTATCGAATAAGTTAGTAAAAAAATAAGAAAATCATACATTTAAAAAGCGTAATTTTAAAACTTTTTTAAGTTTTCAACATTTTATTACTTATTATGAACTATTGGAATGTCCGCTATGCGACGATAACAAAAAACTCAAAATCAAACATGTAGTTTTTTTGTATTTCAAATTTAACCGTCTGAAATCGGAATAAAAAGTAAAAAAAATAAAATTCAAATAACTCAAAAACGGTTAACTTCTGGATAGGACATTACAGGACAAAATCGGTTGCTTTTGACCTAATCTATCACCCCTTAACAGGAATACGTGACATTACAAGTCATCCTGTATATGCGTGATTATAAACTGCCAAAGCGCAAAGTAGCCCTGCAGCAGCAGTTGTAATTTCACCATTCATACTCGTCAAGAGCGCGAACTACTCGTATACTGGGAACTGTAGGAACAAATTTCTGGATTTGCACCGCGATTTCACGCCATGATCCGCTCGTGAGTCTGGAGAGGGTATTGCAGTTTCAAGAGATAGCTGCTATTCCCTCTCGGAGCGGTCGATTTTGGTAATAGATGACATTAGTGAGCCACATATCAATTTTTAAATGAATCATCCTACATATTTCATCACATAGAATAGATACAAGTTACTTCCCCAAGACATGCGTGAATATATGCCTTGAACATGTACATACAAATTTCAGGCATTTCCAATTATAAATACATCCGCTTATGAAAAAACATATATGTTTATTTGCTAAATCTAATGCATCCATATTATTTTGTTTTTCTCAAAGTGATTCATAAGAACTTTATGGAAGCACCGTAATTTTTAAATTATAATTGATACAATTTGGGTTTAAATTATTATGTACGGATTACAAAGCCATCGCTTCCCATATATTATGTAGTTTTTAAAACTACTGTTATTCTATATTTCCACAAAATAAAACAATTCACTATAATGTATGAAGAATAGCAAATGACACAAGGAAATTAATTATATTTACCTATATCTTTTACACATTTTTTTCAATTTTTTTTTTTCGGACAAATTGCTCCAAATTGTGCTGTACAGAACAAGTTTTTTAATAATAAAAATAGCGTTAACAATATTGCTTATGAGAATTCAATATGTACTATAGGCAGTGCCAAAGTTCAATGAAATTTTGATCTTAGATGGTATTTAATTTTTCGTTTTTACTAACCTTTCAGGGCCCATACTTTTTCATTTTCAATAGCTTCCACTAGCTCTTGTAGCTCCTTCCTGCATTTTGCATCTGAAGCTTCCCTTCCTAGTCTACCAATTCCATACAAAGGTTGCCACCCTTTTAGTTTTTCTGAAAAACTGCTACTTCTACTGCTACTTGTTCTTCGCGTTCTTTTTTCAGTACTACTCGACGCTACGTTAGTTTTAAGACTCGTAGATGATTGTGCTGATGAGGTATATCTGAGCTGCTGAGACGGCTGTGCTTTGGTAGCTTTGGGATGCTCAGAAACATCTGGTTTATTTGTGTTGGAGATTGTTTGAATCCCTGAGTCCAAATCATTGCCTGCTTCAATCGTGGATGACTGCTCTACTTCAGTACTCCCGATCTTTTCCGATGACAGTTTTTTGGTATTTGCAAGCTCGGATATCACATGTGCGCTTTCACTGACAATCTTCAGTTTTTGATCTCCATTTCTTTCATGGGTGAAGACATTCTGGTCCAAACTATAACTATTTATATTTTCACTGTCGTGTATCGTTGATAAATTTTTGACCTCAACTATATTTGGATTTGATAAGTCACCTATAATGTGAAAATCAGATGAAACATGGGTTTTTGCCATATTCTGAGACCCAGTGAATATGTAAAGGGCATTTAAATATAAATCGCGCTTATGCTGGCAAATAGTACACAAAACTACATCAATTAAATTTTTTTTTAATGACGTTTGGCCAATATAGTTAAAAGTGATTATATGAGTGCTTGATGTTCAAATGGCGCAGGATACATTGAAATGACGCCCGTAAAAATGTCATTATGCAAATTATGGTTAATCAAACTACATGAATATATAGAAAAAAGAATTACGATCTCGACCTTAATGTTACACGAACTGTTTTCAATGCCAAGGCTCAAAAAAGCATTAAGCCGTATTCATAAAACAAACGATATCCTTGTACTTGCAAATTTTGAAGGAAATCCTCCAGATGGTATTTATAATAATTTGAAGTAAATGCTTTTGCTTTTTGAGTATAAGCATATCCTTCAAAGCAGTAACATAGGTAAAAGGATATGCCGAATCTTGACCTTATACTTGGCATAGGACGCATATCCTTCAAAAATCCTGAGTGTGGTCACTAGCAGACTCAACTCCGTAACGAAAGGTGGTCAAGCGATGATGGCGGAAATTGTGGATGTTAGGGATGTTAAAACGTACAAACCTCGTTTACCTTCACTTGGTAGTGACTTCAAAAAATTATATCGGTTCGACGAAGCAAATGTACAATAGCTTGCGGACAGGTTTTTAGTTGAGAAAGAGGAAACTCGAAGAGGAGCACTTTCATGTATATGCCTACGCTCGGTGACTCTGGATATCAACAAGGCATTGGTCAGGAACTTGGTGTTAGTCAAGCAACGGTATCTCGGACTGTGGATAGAGTTGTGAACAGCATAGTTGCACAGTCGAACGAATGGATCAAGTTTCCAACTACCAACCATGAACTGATGGAGGCCAAGCGGATATGGCAAAACATGTATAAATTTCCAACAGCAATTGGTGTAATTGATACATATAGGAATCCTGAATGGCATCTCTAATTCTCTCTATTGTAGGATTACAGTCACCTTCCATAGCTTTCAGCAACTTTCTTTGTCAATCTAACAATTTAATTGCTTTATTACCAGTTTTTTTTATCTGTTTTTTTCTTCAATCTTGATTTCATGTTGTTGGTGTTTCTTAATAAGCCTTTAGTATCTAACGGTTTACCGAATGTTGATTCGTATTTTTTCTTACATCTTTTTCAAGGCGTCGTCCTTTATCATGTTTTTTTTTGGAACTTGTGAAAAATAATGCGAGCAATGGCAATTTTATCTGCGATGAACTGCAGGTCATTGCCATTATTTTACATAGTTTCCTCATCACTTGAGGATGACATGCTTATTAATTTGATAAAAAACTGTATCCTGTAAAAATACAGAACGATCTGTGTAAGCTCTGGAGTACAAATGTCAGTCATTTTTTTTTTGACGGCGTCAACTTCTATGGTTATTAGCCGTATTCAATATTATATAAATATAATATATAAATCTAAAGTATAAAATATATAATCTCTTACATGTCTAAGTGGTAAGTGTCGCATTTTTAAAAAACTAAGTATGCAAGTTCCAGATATTAATCGAAAAGGATATACTATCGTCATTTACTTTCAGATTCTATTAGCAACAAAAGATAATCTCTGGGAAATGATACACGACTAAATTTGTCAGGCATATATTCATTAATATTAATTTTTTTTTGTGGTCATTATCTGTATTTCACGATCTTGTTTGCGTTCACGTAAGTATTTCGATTTATCCAAATTCTATTGCTACATATTTCTTTTAGTTCAAGATGACAATACTAAGCTAAGGTAGGTATGATGCAAAATCATCGTTACATAACATTCATTGAATCTCAGTTGAGAATAAGATACACAAAAATTAAAATGGTTCATTTCCAAAAAGTTCATTAGGTCAGATCTTCCAATAGAAACCAGATACTTTTAAGAATGATATGACGTTTTTCAGTTTTTCTGGTTGTGTGAGACTCTCTGTCAGGTTATCAAATGGTCCATAGATCACTCGATATTGGGACAATATCGGACATGTGCAGATAATGTGGCGTACAGTGAGTGAACAGTTACATCCAGTGCACAAGGGCCGATCTGTTCCGAGCAAAAGATGTACATGTGTAAGACGTGTGTGGCCAAAGCGTAAGCGATGTATGCGCACCCATTCCTCTCGTGGCATTCTGATAGGATGTGACCATGATCCTACACTAGGTTTTATCTGTCTTACGTGGGTATCAGTGTTACCCCATGTAATTTGCCAGTGTCGCTGTATACGGTTTATGAGGTAGTTTTTATGATCAGACATTTTTACAAATGTCAGTCATGTTACTGAAATAAGTCCCACGTCAACTACCAGCTGGAACAAGTCAGGACATGTCGCTCATGATACAAATACCAGTCAACCTTTTACTTCTTTTTGGAGGATAACCTCGCGAGTATAAGGTAATCATTATGAATATGAAAACAAGGATATGCTTATACTTCTACCTTTTTCTCTGAAGCATGACCTTATGCTTCCGAAGATATGCTTCCCTTTTATGAATTGACTCACTGTTATAACGAAAATCCATTCCAAAATTTATAACCCGACCATTACAGATTTTTGACTTGTCTGTTTCTAGTATATGACGAAATATACACAGTCGGGGATTATCGTAAATAAATTAAAAATACCTCAATCAGATAAATATTTAGTTTACTGTGAAACTACAGTGAGCTTCGTGAACCTTTCATACGCTTGTTATTTTCATGCTCATTTTCAATATTTAATTGCTTAACTTTCCTGGAATTTTCGGTAATCTCTTCATCTCCTTTTTTGTTTAAATAATGGTTGAAGGTCTTATAGTTTAAATTTAACTGCTACACTTTTTTATTCATTATTATAAACTTCATTTCCATAACATTATATTTTTTAGCTGTATTTAGTATTGCAGTTGAATAAGGTGTTTACAGTTTATACTTGTGATTCTTTTTATATAAGTACATTGTGAATATTTTTAATGATAATTATTTGCTTGTCAATCACTCGTTCTTTATTCAACTTACATAGGACGAAACTATGTGCATTTTGAAAACCATTTTCCGTTTTTGATAATTTTAGAGCCTTGTTGAAATACTCCTTCTTAGTCACTCATAATCGTGTGTTCTTTTCCAAGGAAATAACTAACGAAAATAATGAATGTCCTGGAAATGTTTTTGAGTGGATTTCGACTCTGCCCTAAGTTTTTAGAAACAATAGACATATGAGTTGGTAAAATTTTTAGATATTCAACAAATTTTTAAAAATATAAAAAATGTTTTGCATTCAGTTCCGAATACTTTTTGGATTTGACCACATTTCACTTGTTTATATACGAAAGAGAGGTACTTATTCGAATTAAAAAAAAGTAGAGCATATTTAATTGGTAAAATAAAATTGTCAATTTTTTATAAAGAATTTTTACCTGGATGTATTATACTGCGACTTGCAATTGGAGATTCACTGACACTACTATCACTAGTTTCGTTACTTAAGTCATCACCGTTGACAAAATGTGAAACACCGGCAACGCATAGCACGAAAAGCACCTTCGCCAACATCGAACTTTTCATCTCGATCGGTTACTCTGTTATGCCATCAAATGAAAAATATACATATAGGTTGTGGTATTGTACTTGTGAAATAGCCACCGATCGGTTATCGGGCGTGGATGTTTGGTAATATATAAATGTTTATAATATTTTGAATGGAGGGGGTAGATTGTATCAATGGGCGTAGGTTTGTGAACCTGCGGTTGCGGTTTCTGCACTTTGTACACGCGGGCTTTGGATAGAGACCCGGGTTTTTAAAGTTATGAGCTCTCATTAGGTTACACAAAGACGCTAAAATTCGTGACTCTTATGAAGGAGGTATGATTGAAATTCAAAAATTAGGCTATCACTGTACCACAGTATTGATGATTGAGAAAGCCTTCTAAGAACGAGGGAAGTTTTAGGTGACATGACGGCAGCTATTCCCTCGCTACTCTATAAAGAATGTCAAAAAGAGATTGAAGTATTTTATCTTAGATCTTAGGTAGTCTATGTCCATGAATAGGCTTTTTATTTCCGTTAGTATTCGAAAATTAACATATATATTTACGTTGGGATAAGTTGAAAAACAATTTTTCAGCGATTCTTCGCGATTTAATATTTTGTATGAATAGAGCTGGATTATCATTATGTCACAGCTTACCACAAGCCTTGGTATAAGAGTAACGACTCAACGGTACACAAATAACTGCATAAGCTCGCCAGTACGATATCACATCTGAAAGAGGCATGAAGAGGCAGGGAAAAACTCCATTGCACATCTCCCAACATATGCGAAATACCTGATGACCTTGAGCATGACTCTATTATGTATAACAAGACCCTGATGAAAAGGACATAGTCAGCGAAAAGTAGTGCTGCGTGGTGCGGTTACAGAACTGTGTCGACCGTTGCACTGCTAGTGGTGGCTGGTATCCCGCCAATTGACTTGCTGGCTGAGGAAAGATGCGCGCTCTATGAAAGGGCGCTGGAGCTAGAAGCGACAAAGAAGGCGCGCTTTTGACATCATGGGACATGGACTATACTATAACTATCTAAAACTGTAATGACTCATCGATGTTCACGTGAACATCACTTAACTACCAGTAGTCGGCTGTTTATAGGCGGGGTATGAATGTTTAACATGGATGAACTAGATTTGTCACATGCTTAATAAAGAGTGGTTTGATACATATTGCAAGTCAAAAATTTGGGAATTACCTTTATTCATCGTCGCTTCCACTTACATCTGACAGTAATAAACTGTCGCTATCGCTTTCCTCGTTGAAATTGACTATAACTGGCTCTATGATGGTGTCGATGTGGTGGTCAAGCTGCCACATTTTTGTTTCTTCCTTCACAACATGACGGTTAGCATTCTGCCAAGCTTCGGGCGTTACTAGCTGTATGGAAGTCTCAAGTAAAACCTTAACGTCTGGTAATTTGAAGGTTGTGTTATGGCGCGCAATATAACCCTTCACTTGAGCCCAGATGAGCTCTATTGGGTTCAGTTCACAGTAGTAGGGCGGTAACCGCAGCACTGTGACACCACATTGACGGGCCATCTCATCAGTCACGTAACTAATGTTCGCAGGTTTGTGCTGTTTAATTTTTTCATACAATTCCGCTTTCACACATGAATCGTCAAATGGGATTCCTTTTTCGCGCAACCATTGCTGCATGTCACTTTTTCGAGATCCCATAGTCGGTACACGTTCGGCTCGACGGCTATGGTAGGAAGCATTATCCATGACGATCACAGAGTTGGGCTCAACTCGCTGAAGCACCCCTTGAAACCAGCTCTCGAAGCAGCTGGCATTCATTTCGTCATGGTAATCACCTCATTTCTTAGAGACGAAAACAAGTCACACTCTTCTAAAAAGCCACTATCGCTACCAATATGAGTTACAATCAATCTTTGACCTTTCCCTGACGGTCCACGAAGACCTGTTGACAAACCTTCAATGCTTGCTTGTCGGTTACTCACTACGTTTTTGTCTATCCAGGTATTTTTAACTGTGTGACCTGCATTTACCCATGTCTCGTCCAAATAATAGATTTTTATGCTTTGTCGCCTATATTCAATCATTTCGCGTAGGTATTTCCGACGCCAGCCGACTATTTCAGGTCTCTCTATCAATACTGACTTCCGATTACGCGTTTCGTAACGAAAATTAATTTCGTGCAGGGATTTCCTCATTACCTCGACGCTCATTTGGGGTATAATTTCATTTTCCTTGATCGCTGCATGTACAGCCTTGAGGGTTGGTATCGCATTCCTAAAGAAGAATGAATGTACTGTTCGCCTTAACGCCATTTTGCTATCGTCATCCAATTTAACGGCCTTTCGTCACTTCAAATTAAAATTTGGATCAGTAGTAGCTCCAGTTTTCTTCTTTTCATGCACCACCCTGCAAATGGTCCACTCTGGAACGCCTGTCATACTTTCACAACGCGCGAGTGCATCTCCCTGCGACATAGTTCTGTTCAGATGATTGAACACGTTGAGCACGATTTCTTTCGCGTCCCTCTTCAGTGCTTAACGAAGCCGTCTACTTGTTCCCTGGCTTTCAGTACTTCCACTCGTGCCATTTGTACTCTCCATGGTTAAGTATAACCAAAACAGTAACCACAGAAACCACAACAATAACAATCACACAACAATTCTTATAAAAACACACAATATGCGATCGCTCAACGAAACACGTTCCAATGCGTTGCCGATGCCTATGAGTCTGCCGGTCGAGGCGCGTCTTTGATTTCATTGGTTCAACCGGGGGAGAACAATCAGCCATTATTTCCATCTCTGTCTGTGCTGTTGACCACCGCAAAGCCACAGAAACGACATATGTCGTACGCTATACGGCTGTACTGGAAGGAAGCCGGGATCGAGCTCTGATCACGTGTTGATCACGCGTATGAGTCATTACAGTTTTAAATAGTTGTAGTATAGAAGGCTGATCACAGGTATTAAAACTTAGATTGACGAGGGGGCGGTGCGGATAGTATACAGCACAGTCCCTCACAGGACTTGGTTGTTGTGATAGCTACCTGAAGAGGGTAGGAAAGAGAGTAGGCGAACTCTGTGTATATTGCAACGAAGAGGAAGATACTCGTAATCATCTGTTCGAAAGTTGTAGATGGGTTGACTACCAAACACAGTTGGAATTGGCGGCGGGCGTGAGGCTCACTGCTGACAATTCTGCCAGGCTTGTAAGTGAGGTCAATTGTTATGACATTCAAGCAACAGTGAGTCGTATGATGCTAAACTAGGTATATGATGATGATAAAAACGGACCGAGGAACCAATAATAGGCTTTATATTATATATACGTACAACGTGAAAATCCCATCAAAATCACAGCGGTACTTCTCAAGCTATAGATGGCCCAAGGATTAGCGAACAGACAGACTGACCGACAGACAGACAGGCATACTGATTGACAGACCGACTGACCAGCAGACAGACAGTGTGCGCAACGATCTGTTCTGAAAAATTTAAATAGCGAGAAAACACTAAGCACAATTCTGCACATGCGAAGTGATTGTTTATTTAATATCATCTTGTGTAGCCAAGCTTAGTTCATTTTGATTCATTTTTGAAACTTTTTTTTATATCTTTGTCAAATTTTTAAGTTAAACATGTAAAATCCCATTCGCAAGTTGCGGTTGCCCATCTTTCCAGTGATATTCCATTAGAAGCATAAACATATACGAAGTCGTTAAAATTTCGTTTTTTATCACGAATTCCTTTCTAACAAAAGCTAATAACACTGGTGTAAATACCAATTGCTCTGTGTGGACCACGACTAATAATCATTTGAATTCATTTCCCATCAACTAAGCTCAGCTCAGTAAAACTAGGCAAACCTGTCATTTGAATGAATGCATGACCAAAATTTGACCAGTTTCCAATATTTAACATAGTATGTACTTTTATATGAGCGCATGGTCGCAACACTTTTTACCTCAAATCTGTACACTAAAATATACTAAGTGACATATAAATCCGAACACCCAGTTTAAATCGTTTTATTTTAATAAAATTTTGTATAAGTACTTAATGAAGCATAATAAGTAAATGATAAAAATTTCAAAATGATTGCACTGCTTTAAAGCCCTTTGACCTTTAATAATGTGTGGATGCACCCTGATGTGCTACGCATTCTCCAACGCGCCTAGGCATGCTTCTGATCAGGTGGTCAATGCCCTCCTGTGGTATCTCATTCCAGGCAACCACCAACTCCTCTCGAAGTGCTTCTAGAGTCTGAGGAGGATTTTGCAAATTGAGCAATCTCCTACCCATCATATCCCACGCGTGCTCAATTGGGGATAAGTCGTGAGATCTTGGTGGCCATGGTAACAATGTGACATCATTACGTTGAAAGAAGTCTATTGTGACTCTTGCAACATGTGGTCGGGCATTATCTTGTTGGAAAGTTGGATCTGCCAGGGAGTCAAGATAGGGTAAAAGATGGGGTTCTAGAACTTCGTGGATATAACACTGCGCGTTCATGTTACCTCTGATGAAGATTAAAGGTGACCTGGAACCATAAGCTATAGCACCCCAAACCGTAACTCCAACAGTGTGATGAACATGTCTTTCAACAAAAAACTGTGGATTCCTCCTTTCACCACGTCGCCTTCTAACCCTGGCACGACCATCGTGCATGCCTAAACAAAATCGAGACTCGTCACTAAAGACAATACTGTTCCATTCCTGATCCCAGAGTGACCGTTGTCTGCACCACTCAAGGCGATTACGTCGGTGTTCTCGAGTTAAAGGGAGGACCCAGTGTGGCCGGTATGAAAACAAGCCAAAACTTCTCATTCGCATGCCAATAGGTCTTCCGTGTTCTGCAAACCATTCATTTGCAATGGACCTGGTAGTGGAGAAACGGTCCCTTAAGGCCAATAATCTTAGGCGGCGATCTTCACGGTCTGTTGTTCTACGGCGGCGTCCAGTGCCCCTTGCTCTTTGCGTACGGCGTTCTCGAAGGCATGCCTGACAACACCTAACCACAGTGTCTACACTTTTTTGCACTCTAACTGCGATTGCCCGAAAAGAAAGTCCAGCTTCCCGAAGTCCCACTAAACGGCCCCTATCAAACTCACTAA